GCCTGTTCAGCTCTTACACTGACCTGGCTCCGGCTGGGAGGTGGGGCCTTGGAGCCGCAGCCCGGTCATGGTAAGAGCTGTTCGGGCAGGTGTGGGGAGCCACAGCACGGACCCTTCACCTGCCCTGGGTGGGGGCCCAGAGGGCAGGGACACAGGCTGGGGGTTGTTCTTAGGCCCCATGGGCAGGTGGAGAGTCCGCCACGGCTCCCCACAGCTGCCTACGTAGCTCTTACCATGGCCAGGCAGCAGCTCCAAGGCCCCATCCCCTGGCCAGAGCTGGGTTGGGGTAAGAGGCGTGTGAGCAGCTGTGGGGAGCCTGGTTCCCTCCACCTGCCCTGGGCAGGGAGCTTGGGGGGTGGGAATATGGGCAGAAGGCTGCATTGAGCCCAGCCCAGACCACCCTGGGGTGAAGGAGGCAGCCTCCCCAGCCCTGCTCCAGCTTCTGGCTTGGCTGGGGGCTGGGCCTCTGGGGGGAAGAGGAAGGGCAGCGGCAGAGCCTTGGGGGAAGAGGAGGGACCTCTGGGGGAAGGGGCAAGGTGGGGCTTTGGGGGCAGGGGCTCCTGACCACCTCACTTTTGGGAAGGCTCTGCCGCCCTGCACTACATGTGTACCTACAGTCACAATGAAAGGCTCTTGCAGTGGGGAGCTATTGGAGCCTTTCCACATGACGGGAGCCTTTCACTGCAGTGGGAAAAGGCTCAGGCAGTGGGACACTACACTGCTAAAATAGCAGCGTAAATGTGGGAGGCCTGCTTGAGCATGTAGAGAATGGTGTGGGGTACATACACTCCTGAACAACCCCAAGGTAAGGCACTCTATTCTACTTTTTCTACTTGCCTGAGCAATGTTTTGCCCTCTACACTGCTATTTACACTTGTGCTACGTAAGCATGTGCTGTCTGCACTCTACACACTGCTGTAAGTGTAGATATAGCCTAAATCTGTAGATGCCTAAACTCATTAAGCACCTACATTTTTGCTGTAAAAATTCTTTGGTGCCTACATTTCTGCCTCTAGGCATGTGTGTTGCTGCCTCATTCTAGTACCT